TCTAGCGAACGAGCTATCAGATCGCCTCAAAGAAGCCTCCGGTGACCACAAACCTGGCAATTATTTCCGCCACACAAGAAGTTTAGCTTATTATAAACTTTCAAATGCTATATTATATTTATAAAAATAAAATACGCAATAATTTTGTTTGCAAAATGAATATATGTAATATATCCATTTTTGCTCAAGATCTGTACAATTACCGTATTTTGGCAAATAAACATATTCTAGAGTACCGCCGTGAAATTTATATTGTTAGCTATTCTATTGACCATAATAATGGTATCTCTTGAAGGAGGTATGGAGTTCAGAGATCATATTTACAAAATTTGGTGCCACATCACGTTACACGTGATTGACATTACAATTGATCCAGATAATAAACGGTTTTACAACAATGATTTACAATTACTAATTACAATAAGGTAGGAGCTTTTTTAATATCAATAATAGGTCCCGACAAGTAATCTGAAAACCAATCTGCCAGCCTTATTCTTTGCCCTTTTGAAATAATTTTCTACTTCCTCAGAAATTATCATTCCTCGCTAATCCAAAATCGTACACAAGCTTATGCTTTGATTCTACCTCCATCGAATCCATTACCACACACATACCCATTGCTTTTTGTAAATGTAACGCTTGTGTTCCATTTTCCACGTTCATTGAAAATTTTCAAGTGCCCTAAAAACGTCTTCACCGAGTTTAAGTTTATTTTCATACATCGATTTCAATCCTGTAAATCTATTATTATTTACGTGCTTTTATTGCGGATATTTCAATTTTGACAGAGACATCAAAGTTGAGAGAGAACTAACCGACTTGTTGGATTTAACGTTAACGGCGAAAAGCAAAGGGGGAAAAATATAGGTACTAAAACAATTGTCCACATATCGAATTCTGTCGATTGCATTCTGATTAAGTTACTTATTATCTTTATCAGGTGCAGTTGTTATTATTAAGTCTTATTTAACTTTATGGACACATTTCACATCCAATTTATTTTAACGAGATTATTTCGAAACCTTGAAAAATATCACCAAATATTAACACATATTGTTGATAGTGTTTAGGTATTTTTTGTGGTAGTTGTATAGTGCACAGGATACCGTATAAATACTTAAATCCCGAAAGAAAAACGAACATGGCTAGCATGCCAATTTCATATTTTGCGCCTAATAAGGCGAATAGTCGTTCTTATACTAAGGTGTATTTGCGTTTGAGTACATGTGTGTGGGTGTTAAAAACCAAATACAAAAGATCCGACAACGAGAACATAGACAAATTCGTGAGGTCCGCTGGTTCGTTCCGTGTGACTTAGTTGGCATAGTGTCTGGCACGGTTTACTAGAAGACGTCGGTTTTAATCTGGCCGGGTCAAACGAATTTTTTCTAAATGATTTTTGTATAAATAATAATAATAATTATAACAAACTAGTGGATTAATTTCACAAAAAAATAATTTTTTTTTTTTTTTTTTTTTTTTTTTTTAAATATAACGCACACACTCAACATAGCCCCGCACTAGGGAAACCCTGTGTCGCGGGTGCCATGGACACACACATAGACAACCACAAATTACACCCAAACTCACGAGAGATATAATTGTAGGCCATACAACTATTTCTCTCGGCCCGGGAATCGAACCTGGGACCTCTGCGTGGCAGTCCGGCATGGTAACCGTTCGGCCACGGAGGCAGTTAAAATTGAATTGAATATCAATTCAATAAAAATTTAATTTTTATTTTCATTACACACATTTGGATATCTTATTGGGTTTGTTTCTTCAACACCGTGAATTTGTTGAGTTGTCACCATCGTCAAACCATATGGGACGATTTGCTGAGCATTTTAGTAGCAGTAGAAAGAAAGAGTTTGTCCAGGGAAGTACTAAACCTACCATACCTATTTCTGCTGCCAAGCAGTACCTAAGATGAACCGTCCTTTTGAAACCTCGGTTTTGAAGGGTAAAGGTATTGGTGAAATCACAGGTCCATGGGACTTGTCAACTTATTTCTTAGGGTATGAAAAATAATATAATTAAATTTGGCCAACTTCTACTGTCCTGATTTATTTCGTCCCTGAAAATGATGAAATCATCCTTATAAGTTGCTGAGTCTATCAGGATTTAAAAAATTCGTCAATTTTATTCATTTTTATGGACAACACACGCTTGACTAAAAATTTACTTGTTTGAAAAATTAAATAACACACGAATAACAATCAGGAAAACCTAAGAACTCAATTGAAGTGATTTGAATTATTTAGAGGTTTTCGCGATTGTTACACATAGGAAATGAAACTATTTTTCCGGATTTAAATCGTGTATATTTGTTTTTTCAAACAAACCGACGGTCATTTCAAAAATAGTTTCATTTCCTATATGTATTTAAATTTATTTAAATAAGACAGTCTTAGGGCTCCATCAACATTAGACGCGTATAGAAGAGCTCCAGTAGCGCCAATGTCGCGCCACTGCATTGCAAATTGTGGCATTACAATTCCGGGCTTAGTTAATTATTTATATAGTAGCTACTATTCATATTACATTTATTTATAAAAACACAGGTTGTATAGAAGTTTAGGAGCAATAGAGCTTCTTGTGAAAAAGTTTCCACGGAAGTACCTATTTCTGCCTTATACTTTATACCTTATCTATTTCTGCCGCCAAGCGATAACATGAGCATTAATGTGTTCCGGTTTTGAAGGATAAGAGTGCTGGTGAAATTACAGACACATAGGCCTAAGTCAACTTATGTCTCAAGGTGACGGGCGCAGTGGCAGTGGCCCCTCAAATCTTTGCAATTTAAAGCTCTGATTGTCGCCATGGACAAATGTGTTGCTTACCTGCAGGCCCGCGAATTGTTCGTCCTGTCGCTTAGTATCATAAAAAATAGTTCACATGTAACAAAATAAGTATAGTTTCGCTGTGTCCAGCCAAACATTAGGCATACAAACATGTTGAAGGTATAATACATTTATTTTTCTTCACATGCACTTCAGTAGACTAAACTAGATACTTTTTTTTGTAATTTTATCACGTTTGCAGGCATAAATTTGATAAGTTGATCCGTAATGTACAAATGCATTTATGTAAAAGTTGAATTTAAAACAATTGTTCTTTATTTCCGTAATCAATTTTAAATTAGACATGCTGTAGCAAGCATATCTTAAAAGAAAGAGGAAAAACACATTGTTGTTAGCATAAAATAAATAATAATAATAATAACGCACATCCTTAATCTACAAACGACTACTCGTATAATTATATACTTTAGCAGATCTATATGTATCAATATTGATGAAACACGTAATTTAAAAGCGGTTATAGTTACTAAAGCTGTAAAAACACTGAGCTTCACAGAACATTGGCAAGAAAGTCATTATAATTTTTTGTTTAGGCCGGTAAAATCGTTCATACATAACTTGCAAAGAATGCAACGATACTATCTCTCAAAATTCATTCGCAGTTTGGTTCTGCAATAAACAACCGCATGTCGATCACATGGCATGGACTCGAGTGTTAAAAAGTTTATGATGAAGTTCCTGATAAAGACGTCAAAGGGACAATTTGTAGTAGGTATCAAAGTGAGCTAAATAAGTCGCAATTAGATATGTTCTCTACGATTAAAGAGATTGATAGTATTCGTGTTCATGTTATTCGTAACTGTAACTGCTTTTTGGGTGTGACATGTTTTGAAGTTAATATTATTGTATCTACGTGTTTCAGAAAGTTTCAAGTTAATTATATCTTAATATCAGTCTAAAAATGAGTTCAATCCAGTCCAATCTAGCAGCTCATTTGTTGGTTTTGAATGGTAAGGGTGTTGGTGAAGCTACAGGCATATGAGACTTGTCAACTTTCTGTGTCAGGGTGACGAGCAAAGTGACATTTATCTTTCGATCTTTGTTATTTAAAGCTCTAAGTGGCATTACAACTGTTACGGATTGTCGTGTCGCTTTCCACTAGACGCACGACTTGTTCGTCCCGTTTCTTGATTAAAAAAAAAACATGTACAAGTCACGATATCTGCTGATTTGAGTCCACATAAAGCAGTTGACGATGATGTTAAGGATAAAATATTAGGGATTATGTTCCTTCCGGGCTAAGCGATTTGGACATAGGTTTTCTTGGAAATATAGTAATAAAATTTAAAAAGTCTCCGTAATGCGTTGTTGGAGATTGGGATGTTTTCGACAAAGAATATTATAATATACCAAAACCATCATGGCTTAGAACTGAATCATCAGACATTGTTTGGCCAGATTTAGGGATCTTGGAATGAGATTACGTTTAATAGTAACACTTTATATTTTAATCACTATGAAATCGAATAACAACTTGTACTTTCTATTAATTTTAACGATCAAAATAGGCACTCGGCTAAACGTAGGACAGTTTCTAGGTAGCGTGTGTAGTCCAGGAGTCCTAACCACCACTGTGTTCCCTCTCGTCTACCACTATTGTTCCCCATCGAGACTCCGTCGAGGTCCACTGGCAGAGGGAGCGCGCGATATACTATGTAACTGCAGGTAGCGCCTCTGTCTCGCAGTTTTTTGTCCGTGCCCATGACCGTTTCCGACATTTAATATAATATAAATGACGTCATTGTAAAGAAAGGTACCTTGGAATCAACGCAAATATTAACACCTTAAATTAATATACATTATTATGTTTAAGTTTACAAAGGTGATAGCCGCTAGCGGCCGAATAAAAATGTTTTTATGAAAAATTTTAGTTTTTTATGGCTGGCGCTTACAGTTTATGCTAAACAATTTGTCAGATATTAAACGCGGTAGCTAATAACTATCAAAGTTTTAATTTCATAATAGAACCACAGATTACTTACAATTTTATGCTAGCTGTGGTCACCTTGGAAAGGAATAATGTGTGAAGTCACACAATGCATATCACACTTTATATGTTATTTATTAATAATACTGAAACGTTCTAATGAATAAAATTGTTTATTCATTAGTGCCTATTTAATATCTTTTCAACAGTGGCGAGGATCCACCGCTCTTCATGCGCGGTTGGAAGGACGTCTTGTGGCGGCGCATGTCCTTTGTTCTGCGCCCGCACCAACCCGTCTCGCCGCTTCTTGCGCCGCGTTTAGAGTAGCAGGCGTTTCTCACCATCCGTTGTTTGGTATTTTTTTGTTGTTATGATTTTATCCTCAATGTCTGATAAAGCTCTTGACATTGACTTATTAACACTCTTTGAAAGAACTCATTCCAGGTATACGTATATACGGCATTCTAAATATATTTTCAGACGTACCATCAATACCGTTCCATGCTGGTGAAATTGTGACTTCGGAACCTACTCAAATTCAAGGCTTAAGCGTCCTTGAGTCATTAGCCATTGGAGTCTGTGTATTGATGTTAATTTTCGTGTATGCCGCTGGCATCATTTTCTACATCCATTACAAAAAGCGGCAGAAGCGAAAGAATAAAGATCCTGAGAATAATACTCTGTCTACTGATAATGAATCTACTCTTGGATCCAGGATAGACTTGGATAACGTGGTAAGCTATGTTTGGCTAGTTACTTATTAACTTAAAGCAGACATACTAAGATTGAATTTATTTATTATTTTTTGACAGATGTTAAAGACTAATCCGTTATTGAAGATGGACAATTTAGGCGTGAACTTTTTACATGATGCCGGATTGTCTGATGTTAGTGAACGTTCTGAGGAAACTGTTGAGTCATCTCCTACTGACTCACAAACTCATAAGGTTAATACTTATTAAATAATACTTATTAATCACTTGTAACTTTAATTTTTACTCTTATTTTTAATATACATGTAATTATAACCATGACCTTTAGTTCCAGAAGTTAAACTCCAGTGTCATATCAGCAATGGTACACACTCGTCGAATGAAGAAACCTTCAAGACCTTCAATCAAACCCGTAGCTGATCGTTTGACACCAGAGCGTTTCAATGAGCGCATTCAAAGAAGATCAGCATCTCCTGAAATTGAAAGAGCTCCACATTCTGAGCTTGCTATAGTTGATTGCAGTATGGAAAATTCTATGACAGATAGAGCGACGCCGATACCAAACGGAGAACCTGCAATGAGAAGAAAACTTTATTTCAATCCCGTTTTCTTTGAAACTGAACATTTAAAGGTAAACATTGTTATTTCGTTTAATAACGTTGCATTCAGCTCTTCACAAGTGTTCACAAGTTTATTCCTTTTTCAGGACCCTCCACCAGCAGCAATCGAGTTCTTAATTAAAATCCGAGAGGTAATGTTCATTGCGAAGGATAAGATGACTTCGAAAAGGTTTATCCCAAATCTGTCGGATATTCCAGAAGAAGAATCATACCATTCTATTGATCTTGGCTGGGATATTCCATGTGCTCGACGTGGCCGTAGATTCAGCGCTATCAGCTTAAAACGTGAAAACAGCCGAAGATCCGCACATTGCGGAGGTTGTCCTGGTTGTGATAAACGTGAACCAGTACATAAACCTGCTTTAGTAAGATCTAACTCGTGCAAGTCGTGTGTAAGCGACGATTACAAACAGCGAATTGTCAGGAAATGGTTGGATGAAGTTCCATCTCCAACACCGCGAATGGATGTTACACAACCTGTAAAATCTGTAGCAAAGGTTAGTGGTACACCAAGGGTGATTGAGCCCAAAATCAACGATCTCAAACCTCCGTCGCGTGTTATCTCGCCTGAGCCAATGAAATCTAATAAATATGCAGAATTAGATCCCAAACAACAAATCAAGTCATTACGAGTGAAAGAATTACCAATGAAGAAGGAAATAACAGTAGAAAACGCAGTGAAAAGAGAAGAAGTTAACGAATTATCTGTACAAAAAGAAACGCTAAAAGAAGTGCAAGGAAAGATAAAGGCTCCAGTAGTGAAAGATGCACTTTTGAAGATAAAAGCAATTGCAAAGAAAGAAACACTTGTAAAGAAGGAAACTACAAAAGAGTTAGAGGTAAATAAGGACCTCACAAAAGAAGTTCCAGCAAAGATAGATATTATCAAAGAAACTCCAACAAAGAAAGAACTAATAAAACCAACTATGGCCACTAAAGACGCTAATAAATCGCCAGCAACATCTCTAAAAGAGATACCAGCGAAAATTATGAAAGAAATTTCACAGAAAGATGTCGTAAAAGATATTTCAGAAAAGAAAGAAATCGCGAAGGAATCTGTGTTTAAGAAAGAGTCTCCGAAAGAAACTTCAATGAAGCGAGATTTAGTAAAAGAGTTCACTGCAAAGAAAGATTTTGTCAAAGAAATGTTCATGAAGAAGGAACTGCCAAAAGAAGCTGTGCCGAAGAGAGACTTCAGAACTGAAAAACCAAAAATTATACACAACGTTCCCTTGGACAAAGATAGTGGCGTAATTGAAGAGACGGTTGGACCACAAATAATTGATGCCTTACCAATTATAAATATAGGAAAAGCAAACAATTCTTCCATTAAATCTGAAACACAATCTCCAACATTATCAGCGTCATCAGGAAAGACTCCTTCCAGTCACTTGTTACAACGTATCAGACAGAAATTACCGCCTCCTCCACCTCCTCCGGTGATTCTACCTAAACCCATCGTTCACCCTAAACTTGAGCTAGAAACAGAATTAGTTAAAGAAAACGAGGCGCCTATACCACCAGAAGTAAAGGTAAAAATGGAAGCGGTTATAAAAGAACTAAATAAATGTAAACGGGAAGAAACCTTTGTTGAAGAAGAAATAAAGGCAGAAAATGTGGAACCCATACCACCGAAAATTATTATTCCCGTTCTTGCAGCTGATACACACTACTTCAGCGATGATAATCTACTTACAGATCATCACAGAAAATATATTCAACGAGAGCCATTTATTGATTTAGACACCCTGGAACGAAACCTGTTGAAGAAACGCCGGTTCTCTTTGGCGTCTGGACCAGAATTAGCACATCGGATTGAGCACGTATATAAACCAGATTTACAAGGTCTACGAGACACGTTGACTCGTAGCTGGCGTGATGTCAGAAAAGCTGTAGATAATTATCAGTTTGTACCACCTAGAGAGAAGCCAGTGCCTTCTAGTAGAAGTCGTGCTGTAAGTCAAGTGTTTGTAGATACAGAACCATTGTATGATAATCTTGCGAAACCTGGTCCTTTGACCATTAAAGTAAGAGGTTCTCCCGAGGAAGTACGACGAAACGTGCGTGATGAATTTGAACCTGATACACTTGATAGAAAGCCAGGAAGAGAAGCGAAAAAACGTGTAGAGAAGATCCTTCTCAAATCCGGTGGTAGCTTCAAACATAAAGGTTCAATCCATGAATGTGGAATTATAAATAATGTACCTGAGCCCCTATTTACTAGGAAAATTGGAAACTTAAGACAAATATACGAAGCAAAGGCGAAATCTCAGGAAGAAGAAATACGGGTACCTTATTATGGCAGACGAGGAAGCGTTCCTTACGGAGGACATGAGTTGGCGTCACTTGTTAGGTCTGTTAAGGCTTCTGATTTGATACGCCAGATCGAAGCACAGAAAGATGGCATCAAACCTCCTATTCCTCCTAAACAACGTCGCGGTTCAGATTTGTCTCCAAAGTTCATGCACCGTAGTCCTATTGGTGACAAGCGAGCAACAAGATCACCAGAAGAACGAGAACGCTATCAAATGTATCTACGAGGAGAAAATCTTAAACGGTCTGGTCGTAGATCGAATCGTACTAGATCACGGAGAACTGACATTAGAAAGCTGTACAGAACTGAGGATTCAGGCTATTTGAGTACCGATTCCAATGAGTCGAAACGCAGGGCGAGTTACTTGATGCAATTAAGACCTAAACTTTTCCCTGAACAGACAGCCATGCCTCCTCCACCGACTATTGTTAGAACACCGATTTTGCAACATATTGAATCTGACACTGATGATATGGAATCGATTTGTGACGGTCGTAGTGAATCCGGTGGGGAAAGTATTGAAACTGATTCGGTATTTTTTGGTAACTTCGATGAATCGAAACAAATGCTCGCTGAATTGGGCCTAAGTGCCTATGATATTCATCGAAAGATGCGCCATCATGAACAAATTGATTCAGGATTTATGGGCGAGACCAATATCATACTAAGTGGTGACAGCGATTCAGAACATAGAAGCGTGATTTCTATAGTTACCGGTCGTGATGGTAGAACGTCATCCGCATCGATTGCCCAGTTGGACGACTCGCCATATATGCACTCTGTAGAATGCTAAACTGTCAAAGAACGCTAAATAGGTAGGCTATGGAAAACATCTTGACCATACTGATTCAGGAAGGAAATGCTTCATTATTGTTAAGATCAAGATTTCTTATGACTACTAATGTATATAAAAAATGTAGCCAAACTTGATTAATGCTAATATTAAGCTTTATAAGATTAACTGATTTGTTGATAATATTATAGATGTCAAAATATGGGTTAGGAAAAAAGAACGCCTAAAGTGCTTATTGTTTGTACCAATAGAACCAGTCATCGATGTTTACCTCATAATAATAATTAAGGAAAATATAAGTTATCTAAACAACGGGATTTTTAAAGAAAAATTATGAAAATGTCCCACCAACCCAAAACTTTGTGCCTTAACTAGGTTAACTGTTTGAATTGTTGTAACTATAGTTTTATTGAAATAAGATGAGCTTGCAAGAATGTTCTTCGTATAAATAGAAAACAGATTTCTAAAAAAAATTTGTATACTTGATGCATTCTCTATGCCATTTTAAGATTATGATTTTTGATCACGTTTAGATACATGACAAAAAAATAACTTTACAAATGTAATATGACTATGTTGTTGCAATTTATTGATTTCGAAATAATGGCCCATCTTCAGTATCTACAAAAAATGACACTAAACTATTGGTTTAACTCTCTGAACTTGTGTCGCTAAATTGAAACGTATAAAATTGTTCCATTATATTCAATACTTACCAATAGAGTTGTTTTTACACTAAAAGGGTGTTTTGATTAAATAACTGAATGTAACCGAACGCATCGTTACGACATTTAATTGTTAAAATAAAAGCGTTATCAAATAGCAAACCTGAACCCTTCATGACATATAAACTATATAAGACAAGCCCTTGTCGCCTTTCCCATTAAAACAAGGCAAGATACTAAATAGGCATATGAAGAGGCTATATGGTGGAATCTTTGCCTACCCAAATAAATGTGTGAAAAGAAAATTTATAAAAAAACGAATTTGAGTTAACATTCTGCCAAGAATATATAAATAAACATAAAGATTTTTGTCCACTGCGTATTTCTACCGCAAATGCACCACAAACCGTATCATTTCTAAAGTTATTTCTTTTACTGTACGTACTTCGAGAATAAAGAATTCCAATTATGGAATTTTATATGTAAATAAAAAATAAGTTAATTAGAAACTGTAAATTTATTACAGCTGGCCGGTTGTGCAATTAAAGGTTTAGATTATTCGAAATAATCATTTATGGTGCTTGGTTGAAATAAGAGGCTCAGTTTATTTATGAAATGCTATTGTATCGTAAGAATATATATATGAAAATTGTTATACATATGAATAGATGGAATTATATTACATGTTTAGATATTATAATCTTAATTAAGTAGCTTGAATATTTTCCAACTTTGCCTGCAAAGTTGTATGGGAAATATTATTGCATGAATAAATTGTTTTCTGTTAATCTAATTTGTTGTTTCATTTTCTTTAATCACATTATCTTCGTACACATAATTGATCATTTTTGGTTAAATCACTTCGTAGTAAATTTTTATTGTTTTGATATTCAATTATTTTTTGTGTGAAATTACTCCACTAGTTTGTTATTATTAATTATTATTATTATTAATACAAAGATCGAACAATAAGAATAAAATCCTTCGATCCGGCTGGATTCGAACCAACGTCTTAAAGTAAAACGTGACACACGCTATGCCAACTAAGCCACGGAACGAAATAGCGGACCTACGAATTTTTTTATGTGTTTGTTGCAGATCTTTGTTTTTTGGTTATTAACGACAATTTCTTGCCGCCATCTGTGAGAAATCTGTGACATCGTGATATTCAATAAAACTTTTAAAATATACATACATAATATATAATATATATATATATTATGTCTATATAAATATACATGCATTTTATGAGTGAGACACCAGCCACCACCACACCAGCTGAGATAACTGACTACTAAAAAAACCAATAATAAAAATTGCTGCTCACTGCTTAAAGTATATTGAGGGTCGTATTCCAGAACTCTACTCAATGCTCAAGTCAGGACTTGAGCAGACTTGAATATGATTTCAAGCATTGGAAATACGACCCTAATGGCAAGGACTTGAGTATGATTTTCAGCGCTCACTGCAATACTCAAGTCCTGACTTGAGTATTGAGTAGAGTTCTGGAATACGACTCTGAGAGAAATACGCCTTCAATTGGAGCATAGCATCAACCGTTAAAATAATTGCTCCGTATAAAATTTACACGCTATTTATAAAAATAAGCCGCCGTACGTTCACGTATGAAGGCATACGTGAACATTCCGCCGACCGTTGAAATCTTGCCTTTCAACCAGTAATACCTACTTGCGTTAGGAAGTGAAAAATTTTTGAAAAAGATCTGTTGACGCCATCAGTGCGTGGAAACACATCTACAACTCGACCCAATTTCCATTATAACGATGGTAGATTGTCCTCCTTTGTGTATGTCCTAGTTGGTTTCGGATACTGCGACTGCTATTGTTTAGAATTAGAGCTACGGTTGTTTGGTCTTTCATGTGCCCTTAGATGGCTACAGTAGCCAATCTTGCTGGTAAATGTTCGCAAATAGTGGCGACACGTAAATATACCGTCAACATAGTAGTAAAAGATGGCTGTAGGTGTCTTATTCTTGAGAGCATCACGTTTCGCGTCCAGGTCTGACAGTCTCTGCTCCTCAAATTTTGACGCCTGAGTTTCAACAAAGTGCCTCCACCCAGAACGGCAACTCGACTGCATCTCCCACCTCGAGGGGTCAATGTTGCAACTTTTCATGTGTCTTTTTAGAACATCCTTGTATCTCAAGAACTGGCCGCCTTGCTTCCGCTTGCCATTCTGAAGTTCAGAAAAGAGGATGCGTTTCGCATACTTGTCCTCCCTTAGAACTCCTAGAGCGTTCATAAAGAGTTCTGACTATCTTTACACAACTGAACAGGGGCCCCAAGTCTGTTAATTTTAAATCATCGCAGTTGGGTGTCGATAGTGTCAATGGCAGGACTTTGTACGTTTGGTATTCTGATAAAAATTAGGAGTAGCGTAGCGTACGAACAATAAATTGCTGATTTTAAACAAGATGAAAATTAAGTTAAACATTAAAGTTTCCACGGTAATTTTAGTAAGGCAACAACGATCGTTAGTGCTTGAATGAATGAATGCCATCACTGCCATTTCACTGACAGTCTATTTCAACAGAATTTTTGTAATAAAATTAATAAAACTTTCAAAGCAGTAACTAAACGCTCGTCAAGTGCAGATTACGTAGGCGTCTATTTTGAACCGATCAATTAACATCACATACAAGTTATTTCATCCCTACCACAATTTAACGAACTTTTTGCATGAACTCAAAAAGGTCAAAAAGGACGTTCACTTTTAAATTGTACTTCTCGTTTAGCGATTAATGGCACTACTCCTGTAAACCAGCTACCTATTGCCAATATATTACAGTCATATACGCATCTTCTGCTTGGGTCCTGGCGGCTACATCCACTCTTTTTGCGTTGAAGACTATTAAAAGGGGCTAAATCTGTGTACAGGGTTTTTTTTACAGTACTAATATCATATACATCTTTTGTTTTGAAAGTTTTTGTTGTACTGTCTGACACTTCAGATCTGTATATGTCGTAGGATAGCAAGTTCAACGTATAAGCATCCTCCCAGACGATCCCCATCCCCGTTATTGCGTTTTGCATCGAATTGGTATTTTTACGCTAGATTTAGCTTTCTTTTGTTACTATTATATTTATTTTTGTACGAAAGTAAATGGAACATGAGTGGTTGTTTATGATATTATTAATATTATAATTAGTAAGTATTTTACAAGTAACCGTGTGGAAACGACATTGAACTCATTCATTCATTTCATTCATTGAACGTAAGTTTCGACCCATCCTACGTAAAGTATCGTATGTCGAAATTGCAAAGTTTACAGGGGAGCGTTTAAAGTTCAGAATTCACTGAAATAAGCATAACACGTGACTTTAGCATTTCTCAGTTTTATTAAGCAAATCTCGTTACTCACAGAGTATTATAAAATCCTATATATCGGTTAGGTGAACAACCACAATAAATATTTTAAAATGCTAAAGTCACGTGTTATGCTTATTTCAGTGAATTCAAAACTTTGAAACGCTCCCCTGTAAACTTGGCAATTTCGACATACGTACGTAGGAGGGGTCTGTTGATCCCGTACGTATTCCGTTATTATTATTAATTTGATTGCGTCAAAACTTTCGTGAGTTGTTGTGCTCACGCTCGCGGTTTCTAAAGTTATAGGTTCCACTGCTATGCATAGGTCTCCTCAAAGGAGACGACTACACCACAGCCTACCGAGCTGGCCCAATGCAGGTTGGAAACTTCACACGTTATTTTTTTTATAATATAATAATAACGCACACACTCAACATGGCCCCGCACTAGGGAAACGCTGTGTCGTGGGTGCCATGGACACACACATAGCCAATTACAAATTACACCCAAACTCACGAGAGAAATAAATGTAGGCCATACAAATATTTCTCCCGGCCCGGGAATCGAACCTGGGACCCCTGCGTGGCAGTCCGGCATGGTAACCACGGAGGCAGTTTGCCATGCAGGTTTCATCACGCGCGCATATTCTGCCTCCGTGGCCTAGCTGTTACCATTCGCGGGCCGGGAGATATATTAGGGGTTAAAGTATGAAATTGCCGTTTTATTGCAATAGGTTCTTTGAATTTTCATAGAATCTTCATGGTTTGAGGTTTTCGAATGAAACTTTTTTCAAATGGTTTCTGTGATTTTTTTTTTTTTAAATTTGAAACATTTGAATATCGACTTTCAATTGTTTTTGTTATTCAGTTTAGACAAGAAAGATGGATACTGCGAAAATTCGAGTGATTTTTGAATACGAGTTCCGACGCGGAACTAACGCGGCAGAAACAGCCCGCAATATCAATGCTGCGTTTGGAGAGGGGTCTACTAATGAACGCACCGTGCGATTTTGGTTTAAACGCTTTCGTGATGGAAATTTCGACTTAAAGAACGAGCCACGAGGAAGACCGCCCACACAGGTGAATAACGATGAATTAAGAGAGATAGTGGAAGCCGATCCTAGTCAAACTACCCAGGAATTAGCGGCATGGTTTAACGTTACCTTACCCACAATATTGACTCACTTGCGTCAAATCAATAAAATAAAAAAATACGAGAAATGGGTGCCTCATGATTTGACTGATCTGCAGAAAGAAACGCGTGTTGAAACTTGTGTTGCCTTGTTGACCGGTACAGAAATGAAGGAATATTGGGTCGAATTGTAACATGTGATGAAAAGTGCATTCTTTATGATAACCGGAAAAGAAAAATGCAATGGCTGACCCCAGGTCAAATGCCACAACAGTGTCCTAAAGCAAAACTTACCAATAAAAAGGTAATGGTAACTGTTTGGTGGTCTCAGCATGGTGTTATTCACTATAGTTTTCTCCGATCTGGTCAAGCAATAACCGCAGATGTCTATTGTGCCGAACTCCGAACCCTGTTGACAAAACTAGCAGTAAAACAGCCCCGACTCATGAATCGATCTTCACCATTATTGCTCCACGACAACGCGAGACCTCACACAGCACGAGAAACCATTTTGACCCTTCAGGAACTGCAGTTAGAAACCATTCGTCATCCTCCGTATTCACCAGACCTTGCTCCAACGGACTACCATTTTTTTCGTGATTTGGACAATTATCTAGGTGACAAGAAGTTTTCTTCCCAGGAGGCAGTACAAAATGCTTTCACACAGTTTGTGCAGTCTAGATCGTCGGAGTTCTATCGCAAAGGCATTAATAACCTTCCCATTAGATGGCAGCAATGTATAGATAATAATGGCAACTATTTTGATTAAATAAATTTGTTAAAAATTTAAAAAATAAACAATTTAGATTTTCAGTACAAATCGGCAATTTCATACTTTAACCCCTATTATTTGTATGGCCTACACTTATTTCTCTCGGAGTTTGGGTGTAATTTGTGGTTGTCTATGTGTGTGTCCATGGCACCCGCGACACAGGATTTCCCTAGTGCGGGACTACGTTGACTGTGTGCGTTATTATTATTATTTTCATGTGGCTGTGAGATCCTAGCATGCACTAGATATTATTTTTTTGTCTTGTGTTTAGTACTGCAGTGTTATGTCTGTTTGGGATTTTTCATTAGAGCATCCTGGGTAGATAACGGACTTCTTTTGCAAGGACCTGGGGTTTTTCAAACTTCATTGAATGTGTAGGTTTATCCATGACATAACAAGTCTGCAGTCTGCGAGCTTGCTGCGAGAGGCCATTGAAATTAAAAAACATCCTAATTTGAACAGGGAGGATGATTTCTCCGTACCACCAGTTTGGGACC